CGGGCCCGGGTCCCCAGGGTCAGTCTGAGGGAGGACATGCGGTCTGTCCCCGAGCAGTGTAAACTGTGCCCTTGGTGCCAGGACAAGGAAGCGTGCACTCACCTGGCCCAAGCCTCTGTGAAGATAATTTGAAAAGTCCTCCATTCAGGACTAAAAAAGAAAAAGCCACACAGCCTTTTATAAAAGTAACCCTCCAATCTAAATTTTTAAAAAGTAACTACTCAACAGAAACTGGACTGGCTAGCAAAACTGGCAAGTTTTTCGTCAAAGGCCAAAAGCTTACAGTGAACATTTCCAGGTGCTCAGACACTTCAGACACTTAAATTGCTAAAAGTAGGCAGTGTAATAAGGGGATTAAAAAGAAAAGAAGAAAAACAGGAACCTGGACCACAAAATAGACTAAGATGTTTTTATTTTATTTTATTTTATTTTATTTTAAGATTTTATTTATTTATCTTTAGAGGGGAAGGGAAGGAGAGAGGGAGAGAAACATCAATGTGTGGTTGCTTCCCATGCATCCCTTGCTGGGAACCGGCCTGCAACCCAGGCATGTGCCCTGACTGGGAATCGAACCGGGATCGTCTGGTTTGCAGGCCCGCACTCAATCCACTGAGCTACACCAGCCAAGGCAAGATGTCTGTTTTTATTGGCACAAAACCAACAAATTACTTTCCTCTTCAATAGAAGTTATATGTATTATCTTGGGAGCCGACCAACAGCCATCTGTTGACACAGTTGGGATGGATGAGATGCATCTGCACAGAAGAGGCAGCTGTGGCTGGACGTCCTGTCTATCTCTCCCTTGCATGTTTGTTGCTGAGATTAATAGGTGGTGGGATTTTTAGACACCTGTATTTCAGGTCCAATGATCCGCAGAATTCCAATGAGATTGTAAAAAATGATTTCTTAGCCATAGAACAAAAGTCCCCCCTGATGGGGTAGCCTCTGAACATCTAAATGTTGATGGAGTAACAGCCCCTCCTCTACCTTGGACAGGAATATCTATTCATGAAATTAGACAGGTAAAGAAGCAGGAGAAGCTGGTTAACTATTACAAACTAAGCACGTAGAAACAATTACCAAGGAGTTAGAGTCCAAAGTACACAAAGAAACATTTGAGACAGAAAGATAGATAGCTAAGTTAGACACCCAAAGGCCTCGTAATAAATTTCCTATAACCACTGTTCAGTCTAGCATATCCTTTTGATCCATGCCAAATTCTAAGAACTTTAATAAACAATAAGACATTTAAAACTCTGTACATACAGCTATTTCTAATTGTCTGATTAATGGCTCTCCTGGTCAAAACAACTTTTATTTAACATAACTGAAATTATGGAAATTCTTGTACTTTTCCTGGTTACTTCTGTATTGGTTTTATCTGCTTAACTGATCACGCCATGCGCCTGTTCCTTTAAGGTTATACAACAATCTCTATAAAAATAAAGCCTAAATCAAACTCTGTGAGTTCAGTTAGACCCAAAGAGGCTGGCTGTTCTCCAGCATCCAATCGGGTGTCTGACTCATCATTTGTCGCCTGCGCCGTCCATCCTTCGGGGACCCTGAACCCTGCCGAGGCTGGACCCCGGCAGTATTACCCATGGCTGGCCTGGTTATCAACACACTTATGTGTGAGCATTTGGGCACACTCTGGTTACAGTGGAATGTGCAGCATGAACAGGGCTAACATTTTAAGGTATGGTGTGTGTGTGTGTGTGTGTGTGTGTGTGCGTGTATTGGGGGGTTGCGGAGGGGTGTGTGTGTAGAAGGGCAGGTGTAGGAGGGTGCAGCCAGGGAGCCCCCAAAAGAAGGATTTGTAATGGGGTCCAGAACTCAGGGTGTCCAGGAAATATTAAAAATATGGGAAGTCCTCACCCCCACAAGTCTGAGCTGGGGGGATGGGATACATGGAGCAGGACCATTGGGTTGTTTTGCATAGCAACGGTTTCTCAGCTAACCTCTAGCATGGTCGTTTAACATATCTATAACCTTTAACTGGTGTCATAGATATGTTAAATAGCTGTGGCCATGCATTGAGCCAGGGAGAAGGGAGTGACTTCCACCCAGGATGTAACTGGGAGGCAACTCCCCGTTTATAGTGCCTGTTTGAGAGCTTGGAGATGATTGGCTCCACACCATGGAGCCACACGTGCCCGGACTTACTATGGCAGCCCAGTAAAGCTGGGAGGATATGGGTGTCCTGGTGGGTGTAGCCGATTGTGGGAGGAGTGGGAAATGGGGCTGCAGAGGAAGATTGTCGCAGGGATTTAAAGGCAGAAGTAGCAGCCATTAAAGAGAGAACCATGCACTTTTGGCCAGAATGGGGACTCCCGCAGCCATGTGAGAGACAACCACGCGGCTTTGGCCAGAGTGGGGGGACCACCGCCCCGCCCCCACCCCTGCAGCCATGAGAAGAATCATCATGCAGCTTTAGCAGACAACCGCCATGCGGCTATTTCTTTTCCTGAGATATGGTACCTTGGACTGGGAAAAGGGGGAAAGAAGGACTGTGTGTTTGTGGGTGTTTTAAGGGACTTTGGGATTTTTAAAAAATATTTTTATTTATTTTTAGAGAGAGGGGAAGGGAAGGAGAAAGAGTGGGAGAGAAACATCAATGTGTGGTTGCCTCTCATGTGTCCCCTACTGGGGACCTGGCCTGAAACCCAGGCAAGTGCCCTGACTGGAAATCGAACTGGCAACCCTTTGCTTCACAGGCCCATGCTCAATCCACTGAGCTACACCAGCCAGGGCTGGGACTTTGGGATTTTGATGAAGACATTAAGCCATTACTCTTAAGTCTGTATAACTTGAATAAAGAATTCCTTTCCTTTTCACCAGTCTCTAACATGGGGAGCTATAATTCTCTGGTGAAGGGAAAGGGGAACCTAGTACAGGGGGACCTTAGGAGAAGGGGGGTTAACTAGGTGACATTGTGGGACCCCCTTCCCTGTCGGCCAATCCAAGAAAACCTTGGGAGACCTCATGTGCAGTAACTTCACAACTACTTGTCCCAGTAAAAGCCTGCCAAAACTAGCCAGAAAGGGTCCGCCCTATAAGAATAGAGTCCCTCCAGCCCATGAGGTCAATCTCTGTTTGGAGTTGGCCTGCTCCCATGTTTGGTGTTCAGTTCAAATCTTTGTCCCGATCACCAAGAACCTGGTTACCTGTGCCCATCTGTGACACAGGGTCACTACAGACCTGGTCCCTGCATAAGGGCAGGAGGTGCTGGGTGCTCAGTGTCCACCCGCCCTGCCCCAGGGCTGATATACAGATGTCCAGAGCAGCAAGGAGGAGTTTCCGCCTGTAGAACAACTCAAACAACCACAGCAGGGGCTCGGAAAACAGGCTGCGGCCCAGGCCTCCTCTGCCCTACGTCCCCACCCAGTACAGGAGGGGACACGGGATGGCGTAAGAGCCAGGCATCTGCTCTCGGTGGGAGCCCCGCCCCAGCCACCCTGTTTCACATTAGAAGGGAAATGCTCCACTCTTTGCGCCCCCTCAGTCCTGCCCTGCCCTGCCCTGGAAACCAAGGAACAAGCAAACTCAGGAGAGACACAGCCGGCACGCACATATCCAGGGGTGTTGGGAACCACCCTGCCTGGTTTCAGAAGCTGTAGCTGTAGCCCCATGGCTAAAGCTGAGTAAAAAGACCTTGGGATCACAAGACAAAGCTTAGGAGACAAAGCTTATCTTCTGTATAGGGGAACCGCCTCTGCCCCTTTCACCTCATCCTGCTTGGCCCCGGGCAGATGACTAAGAAATCTTACTCAAAGAAATCTTTGAGTAAGATTTCTCAAAGGACAGACAATCTAAGACAGGCATGGTCATGAGGAGGCTCTCAGGGAAGGACTTGGGGGGCTATAGAAAAAGGGGGTGATGGACCCTTGCCCCTTGGCTTTGACATGACCTGAGTCCTCATTATGTCTTAAGAAGTCTCCTAATCTCTTGGCTGCCTTACTTCCCCTGCCCAATTTAAGCCTGAAACAACAGGGTGTGGCCCTGTGCTGGAAAGAGCTGGTTCCCTGAGTCATCAGGCCTAAGAAAGAACACATAAAATCCTGTGAAACCTGCTAATACCCTCAATTCAAATAATAAGGGTCCAAGCATAGAATGAGTTTGTTCCCCAAAGTTTTATGGCCCTTTAGCTATCTGACCTTGACTCAAAATAAACCGTCAGAGTTCCTGGAATGTTATCTGTTGCTTGATCCTTACTGCCTGACGATGATTGATGAGCTTTACCTGTATTCCTGTGCAAAATGAACCCAGTAAAATCCCATTGAGGAACAGGCTCCTGGTCCTTCTTTGAGAGACTGGCCACCTTTCCTCCCCAGGCAAATCTTGTCTTGGTAGACTTATTCTCATCTGTGGTGGATGGGGGGCTCTGAGGGGGGAGCCCCCCCACAGGGGTGCTCTACCAGTGTGGAAAATCGGAAAAGAACCTGCTAGTCAACAGGGTGCTGATTACCACTTGGAAGTTCAATGCAAATATTAAGGAAGTGGCGCTTGTGAGAACCGTGTGGCACCAAGGAGGGCTTACTGGTTCCAGGGAGGTCTCCAGAGCCTTCGTGACATAAGGAGGGGCAAGTGCGGGGGTGGGAGTGGGGGGCACTCAAAGGGAAAGGGCTGCAGGCAGGAAAGGCCAAACACATGGAACTTCTCCCAACACACACGAGGGACAGATCCCAGATGGGCAGGTGTCAGACGGAAGAACCAGCAAGCCTCCTGCTCTCCCACAGCACCCCTCGGTGCAGCACGCTCTTCTCTGGGAGGAAAAACAGCGCCTCACCCCCACAGTTTCACTGAGCTCGGCACTCTCCCGGCGACGGAGGGCTGTCCTCCTTTCACACGGCCCACGGAGAAGACGGGCAGTAATGTCTCATCCCAGGGCTCCCAACCCTGCCGCCTCTAGTCACCCCAACAGTCCGCCAGCCCGATTTTCCACTGCAGTATTTATTACTACTTCAAATTTTAAATATTTATTTGGCTGTTGATGTTCCGCCACCTCCAACCAGCCAACCGACCACACACGCGCACGCACACAGAATGAGTGAAGGTAACCATCCCCGTTTCATCCACCACACCGAACACGGGACCGCTGGGAAGTTGTGCTTTAATTTCTGCAATCAGATACGATGCAGTGAGATACAAGTATAAACTTTCATTGTACATCCAGAAAATAAAAAGCACATTTATACAGATTTAGCCCAACAGCTTATTCCATTAAAAAAAGTTTTAAATGTAATTAAAGCTAATTCATCTTCAGTGTAAAAACTCAGAGGTATAAACAAACTCGAGACATCATATACAGTAAATTAATGTACATTTCCAAACGTGCACAGTGCAGCGTTTTAAACAAGGAAATGGTCTCGTTTCAGCTTTAACTGTTCAGCATAACCCACATTTCGATCTTGAATAAAAATGTCACAATATATAAACCCACTGAGAATCCTGTACACAAATACAAGTTTATAGAAATCTGATTTCAAATATAAATACACCAATTGTCATGACCTTCCTTGTTATAACAGCTTATTTTCCTATTGCAATTTTTTTAAATCATAGAAAAATATTTCAATGCACATTCAACTGCTATGACAAGGGCCATGACCTTGTATCTTTAAACCGTCGTTGTGAAGTGTAAAAGCATCACACCGGGCATTTCTGGAATGAAAATTACTAAGACCCTAAGACTGAAGAGGCCGCTGTGTAAATACTCACGTTACACCGTGGTAACAAAAACAGCTGCACGGTGTGCTGGGGCACCGTGAGGCAGAGAAGCGCGGGGGAGTGCCAGTTTAAGAAGGCCCCCAGAGAGCAGGGGAAGGGGGCCAGGGAACCGGTGTGCTTTCACAACCCCCATGGCAGCCTAACACCAACCTCCTAGTGAGGATCTTAAGGCAACTGAGACTGGACACGTGCGTGGCCCCCATTCAGGACCCCGCCCTCCCCTCAACCTCTGGCCATCCAGACAGATGACCCTGGCTTGTGTATGGCCATACAGTGGGAGAAGGGCAAAGCAGTTTCTGGTGTATACAAAAGACAATTCAGTGCAAACCGAGAAACTCTTCTTGGTCAATAGTTTCAATACTTCTTCTTGCCCTTGAGCAACTGAAAGCTTTTCTAAACATGTAATATTTAATTTGGGATCTATAGCGGAGAACAGATGTATATATATACAAAAGGCAAACATTCCATTTGAAACATTCTAACATTAGATTCCCCTCTTCCTTTAGTGGGATTTAATACGGTTCCACTGAGAATGAAAAACTCATCTTCGTACAGTGTGTTTTCCTGCATTTATAAATACAGACCATCCAGACAGCAGATGCAAGATGACCAGACACAGTTAAGTTTCTTCTATGGCTTTTTAAATTGCTGAGGTACTATATGATAAGCATCACTTCTGACGTTAATGTTGCACTGCTTCCCTACAAAAGCTCCATTCAGAAATGATCCCCATCAGTCTATCAGGTGACAGACAATGCGGAAAACCATCGGAGGGGCTCCTGCAGGGGACCATGGTCCCACATGACCCGAGGCCTCAGCATGCTGCTAGACAAAGGCAAAAACAATTACAGTGGCACCTCGGTACGCGTCAGCTTTGGAGCTCGTCAACCTGGTCCTCATCGACTGATGAGAAAGACGTTTCAGTGCTTGCTCAGCACTCATCACACTCGCTGGAACTCGAATGAGTCACAATGCCACCCCGCAAGAGAAAATGCTTCACCAGTCGTCACTCACAGCCACCCCTCGGAATGAACTGACGACGAGTACTGAGGTACACAGTACTTGCAAACAGTGGGAGTTTCTGGAAGGATGAAAGCTCCTCTGGGCAGACCAAAGGGAGCCCTGCAGTTAAACCGACGGGTTTCAAAGCAAGACCCTGGGGCCCTGTGCACCAGAGCAAGTGGCACGGCATGGAGGGAGAGTGACAAGCCCGATGCGGCAGGCAGGGAGGGACCCGGAGTCATCGGCCCACGAAAGAGAGTCATGTGGTTAGATTGTCGGCACCCCTACAAAGTGACACAGTCGATGCAGGGGGCAGGGTGGTCAGAAACGTCAGGATGGGTGACACGGGTGGGCTTTCTCCAGCTCTTCTACAGGCAAGAGGATGCAGAAAGGAAAAATGCTGTGGATGGTTGAAGTCAATGCCACAGCTCTCAATGCCACCATCCCAACCTCTCCATTCGCCATACACACATCACATAAGGCCGAACTTGCTCCGAGCTGAGACAGGCCAGAGACGCCGACTGTTCCCAGGGACTGGATACGTAATCTTGGCACGGAAGGGATCTGAAGAAAGAATTGAGTCCAAGAATATCTTACTAAAGCCCTTTTTAGTAGTAAATCCGCTACTGCAGATTCTGTATAACACTCATGCATCAGATAAGAGCTGCAGTTCTATTATGGGTCAAGTAGTAATTCCTTTCAATGAATAATACTAGAGACAAGGTTTTAATTGCATAGTCGTTCAGGACCACTAAAGAAACGAGTACCAGCTCTTTTCCGGAAGGCCCAGGTCTCCTCCTACAGAGCTCTGGGCTAATGGCCCTCTCCCCCAGCAGTAAGCGCCAGCGTGACACACCCATCCAGAGGTCAGGGTGTTGGCCTCCTGTCCCAACCTTCAAAATTCCCCTTTCACAACCACTGAGCAGAGAGGTCACACATCCCCTAGATCCACAAACTCGTCTTCCCGTTTGGCCAGATCTTCTTCATCTCCCAAAGCTTTCCAACCACTGGTGGGCAAGACAGGCTTGGAGGACGGTCGCTGCAGCAAAGCAAAAGGAAACAAAGAGGAGAGGCGGGTAGAGTTCCTCGGCAGGGAGGGGGTCTCTGCCTGGAGGGCCTCCTGGGGGCGCTGTCCCTCGTTGATTTTTTCCTGGAGGCTCTGTACTTCCTCCATCATTTCCAAGAGTTTGCTCATGGTGGCCACCGTGCCACCCCCCAGAATTTGAGCTTCTGGAATCCAACGCAAGTAGCGCTGAGCCCAGACTCTGACGCCGGGCCCCTCGAGGCAGGGCAGCAGCAGGCCGTGGTAGTCAGTGGGCTTGCTGTGCCAGCTGTCATAGAACTCTCGAAAGGTGTCTTGCAGCTCATCAGAAGAATTGATTAGTTTGCTAATTCTCTTGCCCAGAAGGTTTTTAATTAAATGATCTGTTTCTTCCCTCAAAAATCCTCTTTTGGGAGATGACTTGGATTGGGTGAGTGGCAGAGAAAGCTGTCGTTGATGCTTGGAGAGAAAATACAAATAAAAAATCGCTGGTTAGCCTGACGACAACATGGGTACCGTTGTTCCCATCAAAGAAAGGGGCATATCCTGCGTTTACAAGTCATGAGCCATCAGAGTTGCTAAGAAAATGCAAACTCACTAAAACGCTGTAACATCCAGAGAGGGCAGGGCTTCTTGTCTAGTTGGTGATGCAGGTGTTAGTGTACTACGTGTACACCCACAGGGGGAACTGGGTGATCTGGAGCAGCGCAGAAAGGCAAGCTGGCACGCACGGGGAAGCTGCCCACCGCCTTCCGCACGGTCACGGGGCGCCAAAGAGCACTGGGTACTTATGAAGAATAAGATTAACTTAAGACAGGATGGCGATTTAGGGGAGTTTGCGATGTCTACTCATTTTCTGTAGGGAACAACATATATCCCTTTTGAGAACACTGAGCTTCTGTAGTATTCTGAACACCTGCCGGGAAGCAGTACTGACTACCTGAAGATCCTACCCCTCCAATGAAATAATCTTGGAGGTCATCAGGCATCCAATAGGAGTTCAAGCCTAAGTCAGAAAGTTTGCTTAGACAACAAGTGGCGGGGGTGGGGTGGGGGGAAGCACTCTGAGGAGCTGACAAAACCGGCCGGACGCTCTTGCCTGCCAAGCTGCAAGGAGGAGACGAAGTGAGAGCTCTCACGGGTGCCGAGGCAGGGCGCTTCACTGGGGGTGCACTGGGAAGGGCTGTGAAGGGGCAACAGTGGCCAGAAGGTCATGGGGGATCTCCAGTGGCCAAAGGAGAAGGCAGAAAAGCGGGAAGCTGTTTCTCCCCAACTCTTTTGCTCTTGAGGTATCCACTTGAAATAAGAGCAGACAAAAGCTTTATTCTCAGACTAGACTTAAAACAACTCTCTAACCTACTTCTGTGAGTGGTTCTTCCTTGCAAAAAAGTTTTCTTTACTATAAAGGGAATATTTCCTTATTATAGAATATGGAATAACAATTAAAGTAAAAGAAGAAAGCCAAACCATCCACAAAACCCCACCTCGAAGCTGACTGGGATTTCTGACTTTCTGGCCAAGGACAGGCAGCCGAGGGCGGGGGCCGCAGCCGGCCTCTCTCCTCCCCGCAGTCGGGGAGCCAGAGTGGGCAGGGAGTAGGGAAGGCGGGCGGACCTAACAGCCACTGAGTGTTGACTGCCACCAGGCTCTGTGCTCAGTGGCTTGTGCACAACAACTTATCCAGTCCTCAAAGTCACTATTAGCGCTCCATCTCACGAGTGAGGAAACTAAGGCACAGAGGTTAAATAACGAGCCAAGGCCCCAGACGCCAAATACCAAGTGTCCATTTCACTCACGGACAGTCTGGCTGCAGAGTGTGGGCGCCTAATAGAACTCTACTTGTCCTTAAAGCCCCTTCTCTCCAAACCCCAAGTCAGGGATTTTCAACTGGCATGACACAAGAGTTTTTAAACATGCAGTACGTGACTATTTAGTGGGGACTCTGACCTCTTTGCCCTTAGACTATGAAATTAAAAAAAAATGACAACAGCCAACACAACAATAGCCATTTGGTTTGAATGAATCAAAAGTCTACCTATTTTTTGTTCCAATGGCAACCCCCCCCCCCATATTTTTGGTGTGCTGCAGAGTTTCTGCGTGCCGTGAGATGAAAAGATCGGAAACTGCTGCCCAAAGGGAGCAGAGTGTTCAAGATGAGCTGGGTGGGCGCGGCGCCACGCGCCTGGACCCTGTCAGGGCTGAGGCTGCGGCCGAGACCCCACGCCTGAGCAGGCCCCTGGCCCCCCACAGTCATTCACAGGCAGCACTTCCCACCACAGCCTCTTCAGTCTCCACGGCCGTCCCTCCACCCAAGGAGGGGCTCCAAACCTGACACCTGATCTCTCAACCCAAAGGCTTCAAAGTTCCCAGCCCCAAGTGCACCTCATCTACCACTGGACAACCCTTTGGCTCAAACCCCTCCCACCAGTCAGCTCCTGGAGGCTATGCTATGTGCCCCTGCTCGCAAGGCGAAGGGATGCTTAAAAAACTCCATCTGGGCGGAGAAATGCAATCCAGTCGCAAGACAGAGCCTTAGCTTCCTCCAGTGCAGAAATAAGAGCTAGGCCTTGCCACCTCTGAGGTCCCTCACCCGCTGGCCTGGGGCAGCTCTGGGACCCTAACCAGGCCATCACGAGAAGTGTGCATGCAGCCACCAGGGGGCAGAGCACATGAAGAAAACTGACCTCTGGCCAAGCTGTTCCGGAGCTTGAGGAGTTCTGGTCCAGCTGGCAGGAAAGAGGTTAAATCTGTTGGGGAACATCCACTCTGGGCCTGAGGACCCTCTAAAGGGCAAAGCAGCAGCTCTAGGTTGGCAGGTGGCACCTCTGCGAGCACTGGTTTTGGCTCATCTGGGTCCCCAAGCCTCTTTAGAATGCAGCCACCTCCCGCACCAGAGCCAGCCAGGCTTCCTGGAGCCCCCGCGGGCAGGCAGGATCAGAAGTACGGCCTGGCCAGGAGAAGGCGGTGACGAGCACTGACTCAGGATTCGCCTTCCTGCTCTTCCCTTTGTGGGGTCTGTGGGGGAGAAATCCCGGGCCAGGGCACAGAGCCAGGAAATGCCATGTACATCATGTGTCTAGGGAACTTTGAGGATTTACTAACCAGTAAAGTCAGGAACAAATACGTGAAACCCAAGTAACTTGACACTTGAAGCTGACAGCTCAGGGCCAAACGTGGGCTGGGCCCCTATTTGCAAATATTGGAACACAGCCACACCCACTGGCTCAGGGGCAGTCTGTGGCTGCTTTTGTGCTATGACAACAGAGCGGGGGAGCTGTGCCAGACACCCCACAGGCTGTGATGGGAAAGTTTTAGGTGCATCTCATGCAGAAAGGTCTGGCCATTACAGACACAGATGGGTACAGAGTAAAGCCCCCACAGTCACGTTCCTTTGCTCCCCCAGCCACATGCTCAGGGAGATGCAGGACTCCATGCAACACACGCTTTTTGGCAGCAGCGTCCCCAGCACATGCAGCACAGACAGGGCCACGTCTCATCGGGGCAAAGGATGAACTGCAGAAAACAGGGGATTCTCTTGGACCCTGACAGTTTGCCCACCACAAATCTCAACTCTGCAGGCTGCTTCCAGAATCCATGTGTGACTTTCAGCCTTACATACATGGGGGGAAGGTGAAGGGGGTTGGGCACACAGACATCTTACTTTGAAGCGCATTCCTTTCCGCTGGCCTTTGTCCAGTTTCGGCTTTTCCACATACAGAGGGTTTCTGAGCAGCGTCTGGGCTTTGGGCTCGAACTGCACGGACCAGTCCCACACGGTGAGCAGGCTCAAAGGCTTGCCTTGTGCGTCCGGGCCTTCCCTGCCCTGCCAAGACAAGCACAGGTCACACCAGCCTCCAGGGGCCGAGACAGCAAACACACGCATCAGAGACGGGCACCAGGAAGGCGCTCCGCCCTGGACCACTCACGGCACTTCACTTTCAAAGGCTTGTTCACCAGGCTTGGGCGGGGGAGGAGGGAGGGAAGAAGGACACATTCTTTTCCAGCCGGTCACAAGCCAGCCAGTCCTGGGCACTTCCATGACCACCTGTAGAGTCACTATTGTTTTTACGATTCTACATCTGAGGAAACTGAGGCTCAGAAAACTGAAGTGAGCTGTCTGATGGGAGCTGGTGGGTGGCAGGACCTGACACTGGGCTGTGGGCCCAAAGGCCCAGCGCCTGTGCTCCCCACCCACCGTGGGGTGTGGCAAACTCCCTCCCAGAAGACCGGCTGTGCTCCAAGGCCGGTGAGAGTTAAACCCCCGCAGCACAGTCTGAGGGAAGTGCCAGCCTGGCCGCCCTGCTCTGCCTCATCGCCGTTCTACCAAGAGTAACCCCACTATCAGGCAAAGGAAGAAAAGGCATCGGTCTGACCGCCTTTACAAAGGGCGTTTAAGTTCTGTTCAGTCCCCCAACTTCGACATTTGCCCCCAGCTCCAGTGTGAGCTGTGTGACCGAGGGCGAGTTAGTTATCCTCTCTGAGCCTCAGCTCCTGAGGGGTAATAATAATAATAATAATAATAATAATAATGACACAGGCCCGCAGGGTGCTGTGAGGGTTAAATACCAACACTCAGAAGGCACTCCAAATAGGGCCTCGTACATTATCACTGTTAAATCAAGTTCACTTCTATCATCAACCTCACTGCATCCTACTTGCAGGACACAGGTTCCTAAGAGGGACTCTTACCATGTTGGTTTCTTTCTGATGAGGCGAGTTGAAGAAGAAGGTGCTAAAAATAGGTATGTACAGGCTATCTGACAAAACGGTCAGGTAAGTCTCCGTGAACTCAAATGCTGGGGGATGCTGGTGCACCAGCTGCCAGACGCAGTCTAAGAAAAGTAGGAACACAGGCACCTGTGTGAAAACAAGATACACGTCACTGAGCGGGCACTCAGGGTCCAACGCCAGCCGTCCCAAGCTCGGGGCAGCCACCTCGCCGCTGCGGGACAACCACTGCTGCACGCCGCAGACTCCGGACAGCACAGCCAACTGCGTGCCACTCCGAGCGGCGAGCATGCTCAGCTGGAGCCACGTGCTCACGGGTTAGCACCAATGCTCGGCAGCACCTACCCCTGCGGCATTTCAAAGGTAAACTGTGTCAAATCTCACTACCAACCAGCATTAACAGATGAGTGTTTGTAGTTGACTTTGATCAGAAACACTAACTTTGAACCCCAATTAAGTGAAATGTTATTTCCCCCAAAAGAATTCCGTTCTTCTAAGTAGATTTTATTACCAAAAAAAAAATATTTGATTATTTTGAATTTTGTTAATACCCACTTCTTCACCCCCCAAATGAGAGCCCAGAAGAGAGAAGACAGGAGAGAAGGTACATGCAGCAAAAAAATTTTTTTCTAATATTTTTCACAAGTGTGTTTTTTAACTGCTGGCCCCCTTTACTAGCTACTGAGAGGCAAGCCATATGTTAGTAGAGATAGTAGTTTTCTAAGGGGCTTTGTCCTTTGCGGTGCTTATCTCCTAGTGACCCTGCAGGTGACAGCCTCTCTCTCACAAAGGGAATCTCGCACACGGCTCACAAGAGAGACACGGGTTTGGAATCCAACTCCTGACTCAAAGTCCAGTGCTGCATCATTTATATCACAGAACAGGCCACCAAATTTTCCTTCGAAATTCTGTTATGTCCATGCGGATGCTAAGAAACATTTGCATTACAATTTTACTTCATACCTCATTTTACGCTCAATCCCATTAAAGAGAGAAAAATATCTGAACCTCTTGGCACAGTCAGGAAAATGGGCTGGGAAAGCAAGGGCGACCTCTCCAAGGCTGGCTGAGTAGCGCATCAGAAGTTCTCAGCCTCTTCCCTGATAGACGTGATGCCTGTCAGCCCCATGTCCTCAGATGTGAAAACATGCTCTCCCCCACACACTTATCAGCTCTGTCTGCCCATCATGTTATTTGAGTCCATAAGCTTTCACACTGACTTCCCAGAAAGGAGAAGTCCAGTCTGTGAACGGAAGGCGGTGATTTCCATTCAGCTCAGGGAGGTACGGATAAGAACAGGTCGGGCCTGAAAGGAGTCTCCCAGGAACATGCCAGGGCTGTAAGGGCAAGAGCCACGCTCTCTAGTCCCACAGCACGTGTGCCAGGCCGTTCGGCACCGCAGACAGACATGCTTATTATCCGCAGTAAGAAGAACCACGAGTCACACCACTAGCACATGGGAGCTCTGCAGGCGACTTAATTACACACAGTGCTGTTCTCATTTTTCCTTCCACAATCGGTACTGACCCAGTCCCGGGAGTCTGTACAGCTGCAGCCAAGACGAGCAGAGCACCATGATGTGGGGGGCACATCCTCACCAACCAACTGCAATGCTGACACCGCTGTGCTCAACCTGGGAGGGTGGCCCAGGCCCAGAGCAGCTCACGGCGCCAGCGGCGGGGGAGGCCATGCGCACTCTCACGGACACGGCACGAGGGCCCTGACGACGGGCGATGGTACTGTCACTTTATTTTGAAAAAGTTTATGTTCAAGGAAAAGTCATTTCATGTCACGTATTTTCCACAGAAAAACTATATCCTAAATGTCCATTTTTTTTTGCAAAAACTAAGCGGAAATTCTAAGAGTCTCTCTGAGTTAGTTTTTATTTAAGTTTTACAAATCCCTATTACTCCCACCATGAAATAGGTGTACACCTTTGCTGTACACAATTAAGAAGGAAATATTCTGAACACACTTAGTATCTCTTTCCTCTGGCAAGGGTTTCAACATTGTTTAAAGACTCAAAGTCCTCAAACGGTGAACCGATCACAGCCTCCTACTGCGATGCACAGTGCACACTCTGCACACGGTGCCCTGCGTGGGAAGACGGGGTCAAGAGCCCGGGCCCTTCTCCCACGACCGGCACTGCCTGCCATGAGGACACTCACCTCCTCCTTGTCACTCTGCCGGAGATGGTTGCAGCGGTCCAGGAAACAGTGCCCGCCCATGACCCACTCCTTCTGGATGAGGCTCTGGAAGCCAGCGCTAGTTCTGCAGTGGGGGTCCATCATCACTTGCACCAGGGAGGAAACGAGGCAGCAGAGGTCGGAAGCATTCTCCTCTGGGAGGGGCCGGGAGCAGCACAAAGAGGAAGGAGGATATGAAATGTTAAACACCCACAGAGAGCACGCACACTCACTGGCACAGCTAACAGCAGGGTCGCCAACGCCAAGGCCTGCTATTGACAGTCAAGCACCAATTCTCTACAAACGGGCCAACAATAAAAAAGGGCAGTGTTTTCAGACCGAGAGACCAACTGCTGTGAGCCAGCCTAGCAGGGGCCCGGCACACACTAGCAGTAAACGTGGACCGGCGTGCTGAGTGGATGGGTGCAGCGCTGCAAACCCATTGCCCACGTGTGGGCATCCACACAGGTCGCACACCGAAGGCGGGCACCCACCTACCAGCAACCTGCCAGCTCCCCAGACCAAGCTCAAAACCCTTCGGGCGGGTGTGTCCAAGTCTCCACCACTGAACCCACGGGTCCGAGGCTCGGCCACTTTCTGGACTCATCTCCCGGCTCTCCCCCCACTCGCTCTGTTTCTGGGCCGCACCTAAATGCTCCTGTTCCCCGCTCCACAGCTCTTCCTGTTTCTGAACGAGGAGCCCAAGTGCTCCGTGGCCTACTTCCACACGCCCACCCTGGAGTCACCGCACAAAACCCATTTAGTGATGACGCCCTTCAAACCTCGTTTAACATTCATGACTCGTAGCAAACAAAAACATACATCTACATGCATGCATTTCTGTCTTGAGTTTTAAGATCCTAAAAGTCAGGGTGTGACATCCCCAGAGTTCCCTCTTTACAAAATGAAGAAGTGCAATTCGAGTTGCTATTTTAAAATGTCCATGAGGACAATGGTGCTGGTCTTACTGGGGTCAGAGAAACTAAGACTGGGCTGTGAGCAGTGAGGTGTTTATGCCATTCAAACTCTCTCTGTGGCCTCAGAACCACGAAGTGCTTGCTACAAGGCCAGGCTTCCTCACGCTCTTCTTTTTCTCCTGCAGGAAACAAGCCTGAGCTACACACACGCACAGGGTAAAAAAAAACATTTTCACTTTTGACTTCCTAGTGCTATCAGTGTTGAAAACAAGTCTCACCTTTTAAGGGGCTTTGCCTCCTTGCACCTGCTGGGTGCTGGCAGCACACCCATGGGTACTAGAAAGAGGGCCTAGGAAATGAGATTTCAGACTCGAGACAACTCAGCAGTCCATCTAGGAGCAAGTGACATCCCAGCCCTTTGGCCACAAGGTCTGCATTTCATTTTATGTAACTGCATGATCAGCGCAGGTGGGCCCTGGGCCTTCCACCTCTCAGACCCCAATCTTTACCCCACCCCCCTTTCACCAGCTAGAACTCTATTCTGTTGTTGCTGCACAGGTCTTTTTCAGTAACATACTTAGGCCAACTCTCCCATTAGGCTGTGAACTTCTAGAAGGCAGAAGTATGAAGCTCTGCACATGATAGGTGCTCAGTACTAAAAGCTAAGCCAGTGACCCATCAGATGCTACAGAAGCTGTAGGCAGATACCTTTTACAATCTGCTCATAAAAGCAACACCTCACAGCCACGGAGCACGTCGGAGAAATGACAAGAGCTCTAGGGTATGACAGCGTGAGACGATCCACCCAACCTGAAGTGCGGGGCTCCAAGAACCTAAAATGTTCTCCACAGCAGACCTCTCCCTAGCTCACGCCGACCCAGTTCCAGCTGCACCTTTGTTGTGTGGCAGCTCGCACCTGCTTTCACACAGATGTCTGCACTCATCCTCCCGTACGGCAGGCTAAGCCCACTGAGGAAAAGGAAGTCATGGACCACAAAGTTTCTATGGCAACTGCATGAGGTTGCCGAACACAAACACATAAAAATAACAATTAAACCATCCATGAGTCTCTAGAACAGGGATTATCAAAGATTATAACTTTAACCAAGCTGAGTTCATACAAAATGAAACCCAAAACATTAGGAAATGTGAGTTTTGGTAAAGATACCAAACAATTCCTTCTTGGGCTGTGAACAGATCTGCCAAGTTCCAAGTGAAATAATTTATTTTTAACACTGAAATCCAACACAAATAAAATTCCAAGGTCAGGGTAGGAGGGACTGGGAAGGATTCCTACGCCCGTTCATCCCTTGTTCAAGGTGATCCCCATCACACAGAGCAGTGTCTGCAGAACGACCTCCAGGGAAGGACAATGGAAGCCACAGCGGGGGCTGTAAATGCATTACCTAAAAGAAGAACGTTCATGCTCTGTGCTTCCAGACATTCTATGATCTCTATTGCTTTTTTCAGGCAACGTCTAAATGGAAAAGGGACAGAGAAAAGTGCATTAGGAGTTGAGCTTGGTACTGCAACAATAAGAATTTCAGACGACAGTCTGACTTGATCTTCAGTTTACTATCTTACTTTTGCTAAAAGCCTCCAAAAGAAACACATCACCATTTATACTATTCAGATACTGCAAGACACTCATTTTGCAGAAGGGAACTCAAAATTTTCAGAAGGGAATCCCGAAATTGATATAAAAACGCTCCCAGATGATTTCTGAACTAGAACCTCTTCGTGAGGACTCAGACCAGAGTCTGGTGCGAGTCCCAGGGAGGCCCGCAGAGGCGTGCATCTACAGAGCGCGCTGCGTGTCCATGCTGCTTCACTCGAGGTCACCTTGACTTCGGTCAGTGTGGCCACCAAGATCCAACACACCCAGAAGTCCTGCGGGTCCCTCTCCAGATGCACCGTTCCCTCTGGGACTGCGGCCACGACTGGCAGCTCTGACTCACAACGAGGAGGGCCTGCCACGCCGCTCTCTGCCGGCACTGGCGCCACCCCTGCCCCCGACTCTTGGCCTGGTTAAGGACTTTCGACCCCTCCGCCTCACAAAAGGAGAGGCTGTTTTACGACACTTATCACTGTTTGCGTAACATATTCAAACTATAAGCCATGCTCTTTAAAACATATTGATTAGTACGTGCAGAGGGCTCAGCTGAGAGACAAGAGAATGCCAGGCGAGGCACAAGGGGAAATCCCTCTCTTTCCTCACATCTTTCCCTGATCGAGACTGTTCTCTCCCCTCAGTCGTCACTTCCGTTCTGTGCTGCCCCTGCCTTTGCCCTCCCTCTACTCCCCGGCAACAGGGAGGAGCGATTCAAAGTACGAAAGTGAATATACTTCTGTCCTCTGGGAATCTCAACCTAATTCTAAAACCTAAAATGACAAGTTGACATTAAGCATGATTTAAAAAAATTTTTACTAGGTAATACACTTATAAGATACTGAATTCTTCTAAAAAATTCTGATCAAATGTGCACACACAATAGATAACAAATGTAAACTCATGAGCCCTGAATAGAAGACATGATGTAAGAATAGTTAACTGTGAAATAGAAAACACTTAAATTATTTGTCAATTTGCTTTTCTACTTTGAATTAGAGGACTATAACAATCATGAGAAATCGATGGATTGAAATACCTGATTATGTCAAGCCAGCTGCTACTTTCCAACAGAGAAAACCATTTTATATCTGTGTCCCAAAATTCAGCACTGTTATCTGGGGGGAAAAAGAAGGCAGAGTCAGGTGGCCCGCTCCCACACCCGCCACGAACACCTGTGCTGCTCAACCACGCCACGCAAGTGCAAGCCAGGCACCAGTCCCCATTCTAAGTAAAGGGGGCGTCCAAACACCAGGTGAAACGCATGCCCACTGCAAAGCCCTGGAAGGCCGTGGTAGTCAAAAACGGCTTTTCACTGCACAAGTAAAAAGTGCCTACGATGCGGAATTGGAGCCACGGTCGGCCCTGTAACTCAACACTGAGAGTGACCCGCTTCAGGCAGAGACTGTGAACATCCAGGTTGCTGCTCCTGGAAGTGGAAAGGCAACAGAATACATCCAGACGCTGCCGAGGCCTCAGGGGCAGACCTGGCTTCTGTTGAAGCCCTAAGAACACATGCACAGTCACCCTGCACGTCGCTGCACCATTCCCCTACCGCCTGACCCAGAGAGCCCTGCATTTTATAGAAGCCTACCCCTTCAGGGTGGCAGATTTGAATCAAAGGCAGATACCCCCTGGATGATGAAGACAAAAGTGGAGAATCAGTCCTGTACCCACTCGTAAAATTTCTTACTCCCTTCGCCAGGTTCCTACTTTTATCAATCAACTTTACAACACGAGTCACTATGTGTTTCAGTTAGAGGCGTCCACTGCCGGTTCCCTTGGCATCACATTCATTTTTATCTCCAGTGCCTCGTGTACAAACTGTGCGAGGCACTGGAGATAAAAATGAATGTCACAGTTTGTACATAATGAACTTCAATAAACATCAGCTGAATAAATCAATGAATCCTAAATTAGTGACACTTTGCTAGGCTAAGAGGTCCAAGTTGGGAAAAGTTACCTGTGTGACAAATCTCAGGGTAAAGACTCATTCAAGAATAAAAAGAATTAATAGCCAACTGAGCTCGATTAAATATGATTCAAGTTCTAAACTGTTCACAGTGGGCAGCCTAGGCAGGGAACTGAGAGTGGCTGGGACGGGCATATCTCACTTTCTGCTTTGCACATTTCTGAGTAACTGAAAATTTTCACACTGATATATATACACATATACCTAGAGATACCTGTGTGTGTGTGTGTGTGTGTGTGTGTGTGTGTGTGTGTGTGTGTACATCCCATCAGACAAAAAGTAAAACCATTCCACTTGGGTGGGCGGAGTGCGCCCCTTCAACACGGCACTAAGAACACCACACCAATCACTCCCCTGGTGCGCCCGTCAAGCCAGCCCGCGAGCACCGGTACTGCACAGTCCCACCACTCTCACCCAGAGAAGCGCCAACGCTCACCACTGGGCATCGATGTGCTGAGGAAAGGAGAGAAGGGAATGCGTGGCTCTGTGCTCCCTGCCCTAGGAAGGGGAAGAGCCTGAAGGAAAATGGAGGGGAGCACGGCACAGGCCGCCGCCCCCTGGCTGCCAGCCCCTCCACCGCATGACCTCTGCGCACCACCACGCGGAGCCCAGGGAAAGGCCCCGACTTCCACTGGGGCCACACAGTGTGTCCTTCCCCATTTAACTTGGCCTTCTCCTCACCTATCAGAAACAGCTGTTTAAACTTCGCGTATGCAGTCTGGATATCCTGCAGGGACACGAAGTTGCTCGATAGGTCTTCGGTTTTGACAATTTCATAGGGTGGCCTGTGGATGATCCTGTAAATTCTAGGCATCAAAAAGTAATGAGAGAGATTACAAGGGCAGATGTGAACTAGGAATAGCTTATTTCTCCTGAGCACTTACTACATGGCAAGATCTGTGTGCAGAGCTTTGCAAACGCCCTCCCACTGAACCCTCTCCCATGACGTACGCCCCACCGGCCCACCGGCGACAGGCCCACCGGCGACAGCCAGCGCACGTGGAAGTGGAGGTGTGTGGAGAGCCTTCCTGGCCCGAGCCTATGCAGTTTATAAACGGATCGCACCTTGACTTGACCTCAAGCAATTTAACTCCATAATGTTTTTCATTCATGCATTTTGGGTTTTTCATTCATGCACTTGGGGTTTTTTTTCATTTTGAAAATTTTCAAGCATGCGGAAAAGTCGGAAAGAGCAGCGCAGTGGCACGCACCACGGCACAGGTGGACAGTGGGTAACACTACAGCTATCTCGCCACGCGCCCCCAAATGCATCGGTGTGCGTCTCTAGAGACAGTGCAGCTCCACTCCTGGTGACTACGTCACACGCCTTCGGAAGCAGCTAAAAGCAACCACTCTTAGTTGCATCCCAAGCACTAAGCTATTAGAGGTGAACAGAAATGGACATACTACCAAGAGCTATTCCCTGCTTCTCAGAAAGTAAGAACACAGCTGGGCGATAACAAAATGCTGAACAGCACTGACCCATCCAAGAAGCTCTTCTGCAGCTGTAAAACGCTGTCATCCTGTTCTTTGGGTAGGGCTGACATTTTCAAAAGGGCACATCCATTGTGGTAGGACCAACACCATATCTGCAGAGAGATATGCAGAGAGAGATAAATTTCCAAATATAATATACACAACCCAACAGGGAACAGGTGAGCTTACCACTTAAATTGATACAGGGAAATTTATAAGTTCAATGTGAAGTGGCTGGATACATTAAACTTTGCTAAGCTAAGCAACAGTTACAATGAAGATTGATTTAGTCTTAAAAAACAAAACAGGTCTAGGTAGACACGCTCTCTAGTGCTGGGAACGTGGGTGCAGATAACAATAGTATTACTATTGGGGTAGCGGCTATCGCTGGAGTGCTGCCTTATCATGTCATAATTTTACATGAATTAGCTCATTTAATTCCCACTCTAAGACAGGCGTGATTATTAGCCCCATTACCAACCAGAAACCGAGGCTCAGAGACCGGCTGCCACAGTCTGACTCAAAGGGCGCCCTCTGCCTGCACGGCACTGAATTAGGTTGTGAGAGGGTGCGAAGGGGACGAAGGCACTGTGTCTATGTTCAAGGAGCTGACGCCCTAAAAGGGAAAGGCGCTTAGCAGTCTGATGAAGCAGAATGTGCTAAACCGCAGCGGACGAGAATTTCAAGGAACAACAAAGGGAGGGCAAAGGAGGAAGAACTCATGTGAAGATCCCAAGTGAAAGGTTCCGGTGTTTTTCTGGATACAGTGGGCATTTTTGTGTTTGCTCTGTTTGGAGGAACAAAAGATCAGAACTGATCCTGGGGCAAAGTAATCTGCCCAGCAGAGCCTGGAGTGGAGGAGACGGCGAGGCTGGTTGGGGCACTCAAGTCCATCCATGGGCTTTGTGCCTGGTATAACGGCCTGGCTAAGGGTTCGAGAGTGGCGAAAGCTCAGTCCCCATTCTGCTGACCAAGCCGTCGGGCCCTGGCTCAAAGGTAAACCTACAGGATTCTAGCAGCCTAGAGGGGCACCTTGTTGCTGTTCTTCTGCGATGTACAAACAATACTTTGAATATGTTAGCAGCAGCCGGGGCCGGGAGACCAGAGATCAGGTCAATCCACGGGATACTATGCACTACACTTAGAAAAATCTAATAGAGAGGAACCAGTTTGGGGCTCCGGGGGAAGGTGACACAGCGGCACAATCAGTGTTCGGCATATTGGGCGTCCAGTGCCAGTAGGACATCCGTGCACCGACATTCAGGAGGCACCTAAGCTGAGGGTTCTGAGCTTGGGAGAGGAAGGCAGGACTGAGCTCTGGGCACGGGAGCTGACTCCCAGCTCACGTGGAAGAGACATGAGCCCACATGAGAAGTAAAGCAAAGGGACACAAAACTGCCGGTACTGTGGTTCTTCAGGATTCACAGCAAGGCAGAGCGTTAGAACACTGAGACAGCCCAAAGGGCTCTCTGCTGTCCTCTAGTCCCTCTTCCAAGGTTACGCGGAGCAGCGTGCAGAAACCACCACGGCTCCAGTTCTCTGCCAAAGGCGCAACATCCCGAATGCCTGAGCGGTCCTGCGCCCCTACTTGGCACAGTTCATTCTGATTAAGGGGGAGATGCTCTTTACCATGACTGCGTGACAGGGTCTAGGCAACTGAGCGATTTTAACCCTTTAATCTCCTTTCCTGGAACAGAAAGGCTGGTTCTTGGCCGTATCAAAACCATGGCCCGTTTTCCATTTGAGGCACAACCGTAAGTAACTGTCTCAGCTCAGCAGAGGAGCCGAGGGGCAATTCCTGACTATCCTCCCTTTGAAACAGTAAAGTAGGAAACCAGCAAAACTCCTGTTAGAGAGAGACTGCTCACAGGAATTTAGCAAAAGCACATGTCCTCTCCTATTGTAGTAGGTACTATTTCTGTCTGGGAAAGGGCCACAGGGTTCATAGTGTGAAAGACTTGACAACAGAAAAGAATCACTGTTAATCCTGTTTACCTAAGAAAAGGAAGGGGGAACATTATTCATTATCTCATACATCTTACAGTGTCTCTCCTAATAGAGCCAAAGACAGAGTGTTAGGGGAACATGTACAACTGGCGGCTAGAAAGCAGTGTAAGGAAAAGAACTATTACGGAAGTGAGAGAACCAAGACACTACAGTGCTTCTGAAGCCAAGACAGGAACTTAAAAGACCAGAGGGAGGGTGTAGCAGTGTCAAACCGTGGCGACGGCAGGGGCACTGGGGCCGCGCAGGCTCTGCTTTGTGGGGGGCCAGTCAGCAGAGGGAGGGCAGTAGGGAAGCAAGCAGAGAAAATGGGTTCAGACTCTTTAAATCCGTTTGGCAGCAAAGGAGGAGAACACCACAGTAGCTTTACTCTTAAGGAAGGGCTTCTTCAGGTTAGGGGAGAGCTGAGGAAGTCTTCAAGAGGAGGGGACCATGTGGAAAGACGCACGTGGGACGGGCAGCCTGACGGACGCGGGTTCCGGACAGAAGGGCAGATGGGAGCAAGAGCCCAGGCAGAGGTTTGGATTCGAGATGAAGGAGAGAGATAACAGGGGGTGGGAAGAAGGAGGGTGAGGGGGTCTCCTGGCTGCTGTCCGCAATCCCACTACAGGGTGGGGAAGTTAGTCTCTGAGAGTAAGAGAGTTCAGAAGAGAACTGCGAATGGAAAGAGAATGAAAAACGTCTGCGGCAGCCCCGGGAAGAATGGCACAGGCCCCCAAAGGAGCTGAACAACAGGCTAGACGGCTGAGCTGAACGAGGACCCCACCAAGACGAGCTAACAGTGTCCACACACCCCATGAAGTATGCGGTGCTCTTCGGAGGACGTGATCTACAGCCACATTCATTAGCCCCACAGCAAAAAAAAAAAAGCCTCCAGGCTGGAGGCCAAAGACCCCACAACAGCAGCGAGTGCACGACTGGAATTACCAACGATGGAGGCTTCCCTGAAGAGGACCTGAAGGCAGGAAAGGCAACCAGGTGAAAAGGCAAAAGGCATGGAGATGAGGAATGTTCTGGAACTAGGCAGTGGTCACAGCTGCACAAGACTGTGAATATACTTAACGTCACTAGTGGTAAATTTTACGTCGTATGCATTATCGAGAGTTCTGTGTTCCCTGAATAAGTGTACAAAGTCCATCTTGTGTAATATTTTTCTGCCGTTCATTCATATAAATTCCACTAATGACTTCCAGGTCACACGATTAAGGCTGATGACCTAATACAGTGGGAACACCTCCCTACAGTTCCTATCAGCCATGCTGCCGACTCCTCACTCAGGGCTTAGCACGGCGCCTGCTTCTCCGCCCGGAGCCTGGCTAGAGCACAGAGCACCGAAGCTCCAGACTACGCGATGGAGGCAGCCCGTGCCACCTGCAGAGACGACTCATCTCTGTTCCTTCCCACAGAGCACACCCGCCTCTCCTAGACGCAGCTCCAAAAGGCTGAAGGGCGACACCCTGGTTTTCATGTTCTGAAACGGGGATTCTCAGAGTGTAGTCTACGGATCCAAGATGGGAAGCCTGAGACCCTTTCGGGTGTCCTGAGAAGAATACCGAGATGTGACCTGTCCTTTCCACTGTGTTGACATCTGCCCGGGTGGTGGGTGGCACCGCCTGCCCCAGAATTCCCCACTGCCGCACACGTGTAGAAAACATGCTCGGTTTCACTTCACGGTCCCTTGTTGAGGGACTAACAATTACTAATTGTATTAATCTTGACCACTACGTGTCTTTTTAATATTCTGGGTGATGAAATGGGAGGTAAGCACCAAAGCACAACATTTGCCTCAAGGAAAAAGAGCTCATGTAGTAGCTGAGTTGAGAACTGAGCCGACTGTTTTTTCATGGAATTGAAAAAATAAGTGACTAACAAATTATGGTTGTTCAGACTTTAGTAACTAGCGGTCATTCTTTAAAAAAAATGAATAAAGTGAGCCTATCACTTCATGGAAAACACCTGACAAATTGCCACCAAAGATAAGAATTGAATTTTCAAGTAAAAATTGGAATTTTGGAAAATTAGTCTTTGCCCTTTTGGCTGGACTGCTTCCCAATATTTAATGATTTTCCTGATGAGATGGAGTGATATAAATGAAAGTAATTTAAAAAATTTTTTTTTACTATTTTGAGAGAGAGAGAGAGACATTGGTCGATTCTTGTGTGTGCCCTGACTGGGGACTGAACCCGCAACCTCGGCATATCAGGACACTGCTCTAACCAACTGAGCTACTTGGCCAGGGCTTGATTTTTATATTATGTAAGGAAATGTCAATGTCTGGACAATCTGTATTACCTAGTGAACCAATATTTTCCAGATGATCAATGTATAATGTTATAAAATTATTCGAGTTTTGAAATCCATTCAAGGTATAAGGTAAACCAATGGATTTTAACTTAGCAGAGAATGAAAAATTTGTTGATTATGTCTTCAGATTCCTAACTGCAATTAACCTTTATCAAACTACTACTGATCAGTTTTTTGGTGTACCATCAAAAAATAATATTCTCAATTATTGGAAAAGGCTATTAAATAGTTCTTCTTTCCCCAAATACATATCTGTTAGGCTGGACTTTTCTTCATGTACTTCATCCAAAGCCTAACAACACACCACAACAGACTAAATGAACGAAGTATATAGAAGTATCCACCTGTCTTCTACTTTCAAAAGTGTAAAACAGTGCTATTCTGTTTTTTCAAATTTTGGACAACATAGTTACTTTTCATAGAAATATGTTATTTACATTAATTAGCAGGTTATGCGTTTATCACTAAGACAATTTTAAGTGTTTCAGTTTTAATTTTAATATGCAAACAGCAGTAGATACAACCCCATAACAAAAACTCTTTGAGATCCTCAATCATCTTTAAGAGTGTAAAAGGTTTGGAGACCAGGAAGTGTGAGAACCACTGCCCTAAACTGAAAGTTACAAACCAGTGGGGACATGAGCCAACGCAGGCCCAAAGACTTGGTTTTTAAACTTTTGGATTCAATGCATACATTTAGAAATCAAGAAAACTCACATAAGAATCCGTATCTGAGGCTTCTCCAGAGAAATCTGGCAAGACTGGCCCCATATTCCCACAGAGCACAAACCTGCTGCCACAGAGGGAAGCCACCCTGGTTCACTGTAAGGGCCACGCTCATTACTTGCCTGGCCTGCATGTGCTCCTGGGCTTGTGACCCTGCTTTCACATCTCGCCTCCTATACAGAGTGACCTCTCTGGCAAACCAGCCATGTGCACAGCATAGCATTTATTTGTAGCTCTCATTCCTCACTGAATTCCTGCAGGCTTGGCAACTCCCAACCACCCATTAGAAACTGGAGTAACTGCCAGAGTCTTGCTTTCTTTGATCAGTGACACATTAAATATGGCTCCCATCCCAGTCTATTCTGTGAAACTCAGTAAGCTCTTTCTGTCCTCTCTGGGAAAAAACACGGCCACGCCCAAAGATTAATGGTGAGGGCCGAAAAGAATCTTAAACCCTACTACCCTTAGCATGGTCAGCCTCAAAATTATTTAGGTGTTAAATCAGGCTGGCTTTCAACACCAGACAGACTGTAATCCTCTGAAAGCTTTTCAAAGATGTCTCTGCTAATGCCACTGCATCCATGAAAACCTCAGAACCCTGTCCCCAGGAGCCTGTGTCTAAGAGACTTCTCCAGGGAGTCTCCAAGATATTTTTGGATACTCTTGGACTAAGGAGAAAATCTTTAGTCCCAAAGCCAAGGGATTTAAGTAGAACAATTCGCCAAGATGGGCCGGTGCAGCAGCCCGAGGCTGTTAGGGTTTCCAGATGCACTTACTGGTATGCCGTGACCCTGAAAGCGTGACACATTCTCTTCAGGAAGAGGGGTGGGGACAACAAAGTATGCTGGCAACCTGGAAGAAAGAGAGGCCATCAGTTTCAGTAGTGGAGCAACTTCACCAAGCATGAAAGCTCAATTTTAATGAATGCAGGAAGCTAAGCGGAGTGGTAGGAAATGGACCATATCACCCTGTTAAGGACCAGCACAGGTGAACTCTCTCCAGCCAAATAAGAGAGTCTGAGTTCATACTACCCTTTGCAACAGCATGGATGGAACTGGAAAGCATTATGCTGAGTGAAATAGGCCAGGGGTTGAAAGACAAATACCATATGATCTCACCTTTAACAGGAAGCTGAACAACAGAACAGACAAGCAAGCAGAATAAAAACAAATACACTGAAATAGAGAACAGGGGGACAAGCGACCAGAAGGGAGAGGGGAGGGAATTTAAGAGGAAAAAATGGGAGGAGGGATTTAGAGGAACAAGTATAAAGGACACAGGGACAATAACTAAGAGGGGTAGAAATGGGAGGGAGGTGGGGTGCATGGGGGAGGGGTGGGGTGGGATGGGAGAAATAAACAGAAAACTGTACTTGAAAAATAACTAAATAAAAATTATTTTAAAAATAGTGGATACAAATTTTTAAAAAAAAAGAGAATCTGAGTTCAAATCCTAGCTATGCCTCTGATTCTGGCAACTACAGATAAATTTCTCCACTTCTCTGGGTCAGTTCTCTCATCCACAGAATGAGGGCAGTGGGATATGTGACATCTAAAAGGATATGAATTCCAAAACTGGGAGTGATCTGTGTCACCATACAGTGACAACGGAAGTACTTGTGCTGCTCTCAGTCAGACTAATACGGCCACTGCCCATTTTATCAAGTGATTTAACAACACTTAAGTGTTACTATGAATATAGGCCAGACTCCGTCCTAATTATTCATATGAATTATTCATTTAAACTCCCCAACATCACTACGTGGCATGCACTGTTAGAACTCCCCTTTGACGGATAAAGAAACTGAGGCACAGCACCACCAAGGCCCTTCCCAGGTTACACAACTGGTGAGCTTTAGTGAGACTGGGACTTTACCCCGAGGAGTAATGACTTCAGTCTCCACGTGAGAAAACTTAGGTTGTAAAAATAACACACCTGTTAAGAAGGGACGTGGGACAGACAGACAGATTTTCAGAGCTGCACAGGTCAGGGATACACGGGGACACCACCCCACCACCATCTGCACCTCTAGTTGGCTGACGCAGGTTTCTTTGATAAGAAGGTCGCCCAGGTTTGACCACTGCAAGGCGGTGAGGATCTTTCACTCAAAGAGCCTGAAGCAAAGCCTCACCGAGACAAGAAGGTGCCTGTGTTGTAAGAACTACACCGAAACTACTCAGGTGGTGTTTGCACGCTGCATGTGTGAAGTAAAGCTCTTAAATATCAACATTAGGTCATGGGAAAGATTAATTTTCCAAGTGGAAAAGATCTGAATTTGAGTGTGATCAAGCAAGTGGACCAAATCAAGTCAGGGGGCATGGAGCAACATTTTAAGCATCACCATGGGGATGTGCTCATCAAAATCCAGACTCTGGGAAACTATCAGATAAATGGCCTGCTTTCTTCAAATAAATTATAAGAAGAAAATGGTGGTGAGTGAATCTATAGATTGCAACATCGAAAACCTATCAATTGCAAAATATCAAATCTTGCTCGATCCTGATTAATGATAAAACATGTAAAAAGATGAAAGATAAATTGTTTTAAAATTTATGAAACAATAGGGAAAATTGAATACTGGGAATGAATGATATTAAGGAGCTAATGTTAAACTTGAAAGTTTTGATAATGGTTTTATGGTTATGCTTATAAAAAAGAGCCATTGCCCAACCAGTGTGGCTCAGTTGGTTGGGGACATCCCACAAAGCGGAAGGTTGTCAGCTGGATTCCAGGTCAGGGCACAGGCCTGGGTTGCAGGTTAGGGGCCAGTTGGGGGCGTGTGAGAGGCAACGGATCCATGTTTCTCTCTCACATCAATGTTTCTCTCCCGCTCTTTCTCCTTCCCCTCCCCTCTCTCTAAAAATGAAATGAATAAAAATCTTAAAAGTAAATAAAGAGTCCTGAATACTTAGAGATGTAAACAGAAATATTCATGAATGAAATGTGATGAGCTCTGGGATTTTTTTCAAAATAATCCAGGGAGCCATGCATTAGTAATTGTTGAGGCCGGGTGATGGAGAAAAGGGAATTCATCATATTCGCTTTTCTTTTACGCTCTTGAAATTTACCTTGAGAAATACCTTAAAGGTAATTAAAAAGAAAAAAGTTCCTGTAATATTGTGACGTAAAACTAGGTTTGGGAATCACTGGTCAAGGCTAAGATACCTCAAACCATATGCAATAGCATGACCTGGATACTTACTCGTAAGGAATGCAGGCTCTCAAGCCCAAGCCCAGCCTTACAGAATTGAGGTCTGCATTTGAATGAGCTCCCAGGAGACTTAGCCAGACAGGAAACTGTGAGAGGAAGCAGCGTTCTAGATGGCAACCTACAGAGGCTGTTTCTCCACTTGTACAGGAGACTCTGTACCTGGGGTTTGTTTAAGCCAGATTCCCAGCGCCTTCCCCGGAGGCTTGCTCTACGAAGCCAGGGTGGGGTCATATTGCTTTAAAACATTCGCATGTCTTTCAGTGTTGGTTAACTAGTTTATTTTTTATGTCTCTCATCTAAGGGAGAAGAAACTATCAGAATCAAGTGGATCAGCATATGTACTAGTCACTCAAGAAAGAAGGCTGGGAGCATGTTCTCAATCCATTGAGATTTTTGCTTCCCAACAACTGTTGCCAGTTTGGCTCAACAAAACTCACACAAATATTTTTAAAAAAGGAAGGAAGGCAGGCAGGCGGGCAGAAGGGAGGGGGCAGCAGAGATGGACGGCTCTGCACCAGCGTGGGCGGTGGGAGATCGCCTGTCCTGCCCCACGGAACCACAGGCAGCTGGCTCTATGGAGTCTCTGCGATGACCCTCCCTCCTGGGACAGCAGTCATTTTAGTTATTAGGATGAGTTTAGAACAGAAAGTAAACAGCTCCTTCAAACACAGGACGACTTGATTCACGGGAAGCTGTATGACCTGCTCGGGCACAGCCTTAAGTCAGGGTGCGGGAACCCACGGGGCGACACCACCAGAGCGGCGACGTCCACCCATGGCGCCAGTCGGTCTACTCGCAGGTTCCTCTGCCCCTCACACCCTACAGTGGTAAGGCCCTCTCACACCTTCCTAGGGAGGCGGGACAGGAGAAAGGCTTGTCAGGAGAAGGAACAGACTGTGGTACAGGAAGAGCCAGCTCGCACCTTAAAGGAGGGTGATGTAGAAGCTCAGTTCTTTATTCTTATCCAGAGTGACTGGAGTCCCCTCTGACTACCGATGGGCTTTCATTGATTTATGCGCCCCACCTCCTATTTCTCAAGTGCCTCATAAATCCAGGCACTACACTTGGTTCAGAGGAGAGAGTGGGGAGCAAAAATGGGTTAATAATTGTAAGCACACGAAATAGTTCACTCTTGTATTAATATCTATTAGTTATTGTATGACTTTTCATAGAAACTGTAAACCTCTTTTGCCACGCCCTGTAACGATGAACAAAAACAGTGTCCCAGAGCTACCTTCCCTACCGGATGCATTTCCGAGGTGCTGACATCTATGCAAACTCGAGTGGATGTCATCAGCACGCAGCAAGCCCTTTTCCGAGCAGTTCTGGGAGTGGGACTGCCTTCTGTCAGTCCCAATGTCACCTGACGAACTACCGCCTCCAAGGAGCAGGGGTTTCACCCTCTTTCTGAGTAGTGCTAACTTTGGTTTTTCGAGCTTTGTGACTGTAAAGGGGAGGAGGAGCTCAGTGGGGGCTGGGGGGTGTGATACAACCCTCACCCTGCAGGCCCCTCCCACTGCCACCCCAGTTCCCCTGTGACTGGAAGGTTAACCATAAATGTTTGAGACTGGTCGACATCGAAACTCACCTGCTGTCAGAACCACGAATTCAAAATGCTCTACAAAAATACAGTGGTCACACTTAACCATAGGGATTTGTTCCGAACCCCAGTGGATGCCTGAGACCACGGACAGTACTGACTCCTGTAGGCTGTATTTTGCCATGTATAATGCACACTTTTTTGCCCAAATTTTTGAGGGAAAAATAAGGATGTGCATTACACATGGGTAGTACTAATTCTCTACCTATGTGAATGTTTTTAATTCTTTTATTTATGCTTATATATTAAAAGTATTACTCTAGAAAGCAATAATGATAGCCATATGCAAAATAATACCCTGAAATACAATAATTGGTTTTGTTTCTAAATATAAATAAAATTTGAATTACAAAACTAAAATGAAAGATTTTTTGCCCTGAAAGTTTGGGCCAAAACTATGGGTGCGCGCTGCACATGGAAGCACATGGCAACACACGGCAAAACACAGCACCACACAGCACACTGTGTTCGTTCCCGCACGCACACACCTATGGTGAAGCTTAATTTATACATGCGGCACAGTAAGAGAATGACAATACTTACTAGTAAAATAGGACAATTATAACAAAACACTATAATAAAAGTATGTGAATACGGTTTTTCCCTCTCTCAAAATATCTCACTGTACTGCATTCACCTTCTCTCTGGAAGGAAGCTCTTCACAGCTGTGCTGTGGCAGACCTGAACTGCCGCATAGCTCACTGCTCTCGCACTTTATGGCCATCTTTTATGGCCATTTTTGAGTAAAATAAGGGTTACCTGAACACAAGCACTGTGACCCCACGACACTCAATCTGACAAGCAAGGTGGCAGTAAGCGGGCAGGTGTGTCCACAGCAGGGGCGTGCTGGACAGAGGGCGCTGTGACCCACCCCAGGTGGGCCGCAGCGGAGCAGCACAAGACTTCACCGTGCTACTCAACCAGCACCCCGTTGGTGAACTGTTTATTTCTGGAGTTTCCCATTTAATGTTTTAGGACTGCAGTTGACCACAGATGATTAAAACTACAGAAAGCAAAACCATGGATAAAGGAAGACTACTGTACAAATTTTATGAAACAGCTAACAGAGCACTGGGGCGTTATGTTCCAAAATGGTAAGATTCAAGTTTCTAAAAGAGAATTATGCAAAGTCAACCTTTAAAATGTAGGTCAGAACACATTACGCTTCTGCTCAAACTCCTCCTCACTCACCTATAAATTCCGCTGAAAGCCTCCCAGCCAGCCACCAGCCAGCCGCCCCTCTTCTCCCCGACCTCACCTCCCACCACGCCCCCCCCTGCTCGCTCCTCTCCAGCCCCTGGGCTCCTAGTTGCTCCTCACACAGCCGGACGAGAATGCACCTCAGGGCCTTGGTTCCTGCCGCTGCCTCTGCCTGACCAACCCTCCCCACCAACAGCCCCAGCACACCCCACCCCCTCCCCGATCTACTTTTCTCTGTAGCACTTACCACCTTCTAACACACGGTAAGTGCTCACTTACTCTATCCTCACTGCCTCCCACTGCAGAGACAGCCCCGGGAGGGCAGCATTTTTAGACTCTGCTGCTGCTGCTGGACCTTGAGTAGCTAGGACACTGTTTAGCACAGAGCAGGCACTCAGAGATTTTTACTGCATGAATAAACAAAGTGTTTGGTAAGAGGAAAGCAAACACACAGAATAAATTCAGAAATGCCTCTAACATTTTTACACTTAGATTACAGATACATAATGGGAAATGAAACACAAATCCACTTCTGAATGTTCTAAAGGATACTTTAACTAATGTGGAGAAAGGGGACCCTTCTGATGGGAATGTTAAGCAGAGCAGTTGCTGTGGAAAACAGTCTGGCAACTCGTCCAAATGTTAAAGGCAAAGTAACCACATGGCCTAGCAACTCCACTCCTAGGTATCTACCTACGAGAAATGAAAATGTGCATCCACACAAAACCTCGTACTCAAATGTGTGACGGGGCATTAGTACTAACGGCCAGAAAGTGAACACAACCCAATGTCCATCGACTGATGAACAGATATATGGTATATACAAATACCCATGCTGTGCGGTATCCTTCAGTGACAGAAAAGAATGACGTTCTGGTACGTGCTACAACATGCACGAGCCTCAATGTCATAACATTACGCTGAATGAAAGAAGCCAGGCATCGAGACCACATATTGTATGATTCCCTTTCTAGAAAATGTCCAGAAGAGGTAAACTGACAGAGCTAGAAACTAGACGAGTGGTTGCCTAGCGCTGGGGGTGTTCTGGGAACATGGGGAGAGATTCCTAATGGGCATGAAGTTTCTTTGGGGGATGATGAAAATGTTACAAAATTGACTACAGTAATTGTTGCACAAAACACAGGGTAGCTCAACTGGGTGAAACGTATGGCATGTGAGTGGACTCTCCATCCTGCTGCTTTAAGGCACACAGACAGCTCACCTTTCGCAGACTCTGTAGCCTTCGTTGACACTCACTGCTTTGTACTTCACGCTGCCTCGGGTCCGCTCCAACTCCCAACACCAGTCCTCAAGTGTGTCAAACATCACAGTATGGCTCTTGGGATTGGTGGCTAGCAAAATAAATTTAAAAGGACAATAGAACCTCGTCATGAAGCCCTGGTCTTTTAACGACGTCCAAGTGAGTCCACAGGCCCCGGTCCCCTTTACTGCACCCATTTCCATCCAAGCAGGATGAGTCCCCCACTTACTCCTAACCTGGCTCCTCTTTTTTGTCATTAATCCAAAATTATAACTGAGGCTCTATTGTTTTATACAGGAGGAAAGGGGCTGTTTTAGCTCCACTCCTTGCAAAAGTAATTATAGGTCCATTTTCAGTCATCTGACCTTGAGATAATTTCTATAATATAAAAAGATCCTGAGAGGCGCTAAAGGACGGGCTGAGCACAAACGTTCCAAGAATATTTCTAGCCCCACCAGCAAGTGCACAGGATGGCAAACTCATCTGAACAGCATGCAGGATTCCTGAGTGTGAATCCCCCTTCAGTTGGAAGACACACTGCCAGCAAGTGGAGTTCCCAGCGTGACGCCTGGTTCCTGAAGGCCACGAGCACAGGAGAGCCTCCAGGAAGGCGGAGCCTGCGGGCCCACGGCTGCAGCACGCGCAGGTGCCCCCACCCCCGCCCCGGCCCTGCTACCGCCTGCCAGAAGGAAACGCCCAGGGGCACTGCTCTGCCCCACTGGCGTGTTCCGGACCCTCTCCCAGGCCACACCACTGCTTGCTGGGGGTGACATGCGCCACAATAGTTTTGGGTATTTATACAGGTTGGTTAGTTCAAGCCTTTGCGTATCTAAAAAAACAAGCATTCTGGGAAAAATTAAGTGATTGATAAAACTTCCATCCACTCTTTTTAATAAAACCAGGTCATTTTACAAGGGATGATAATAAGAATAACAATAAAATAAAGACAGTAGTTAAGCTTATATGACCTTATACCACTGCGTGTGTGCTGGGCACTGTTCTGAGTGTGTTGAACTCAATCCTCACAACCCCACAGGTCAGGTGGTACCATTTCCCCCATTTGACGGACGTGGCATGGAAAGGGGAGATGAGTTGCCCAAGATCACAGAGCCAGGCAATGGCAGAACTGGAATTAAAACCTAGGCAGCTATAAAGAAAATGTCTATACAGTAATAACTGCAAAAAATATCCCTATGGACGTAAGCGTTTAGGACCTTTCAGCCAAAGCACATCTCTGAATTATTAAGTCTGAGAATAATTAAAGATGTTCAGATTGCAATGCAGCCAGCACTACAAACCCCTGCGCAGTGACAAAGCCAACTGGTCAGTTCAGAATTATCTACAGTAACCATAATTGTCAACAATTGGGGATTAAGAGGAGAAAAGAAGGGTGGGACTAAACTAGCAACCAGCTGTCTCACATGCTGGGCCCTGAGGCACGAAAAGCCACCACAAGGTAATGAAACTGCCAGGTCCGTCAAGGGAAGGGCTTCCGAACCCAGACCGACATGTTGGCCGGCTGAGCAACTGTCCTACGCTGGGTCCGGATCAAGAATCATGTGAGGAAAAAGCAGAACTCCTAGAAAATACAGGGGCTTTTCAAATGTAACCAACACGTGTTGATGCACATGACAGTGGCCGACAGTGTGTCTCACGCTGCAAGGAGCTGCTGTGAGCCAGGACCCAGTCAGCACCTGTACACTTACCCACAGCAGAGAGATCTGTCATTCACAGAAACGAGCTTCCTGAATTCAGAAACCCATTTAGGTTCGGCCTACTGGCAGTGCTAACTACACCCTACGTCAGCATGATTCTCTGAACATAACACGTCCTCAATGACATGCAGTTACACTCTCTGTTAACCCTCAATTATTGACTGTACCCTCTGGGTCATACGTTTAATCATTTATAACCTTCACAACACTTTAAAGGAAGCGTTAACACTATAATTTTTTAAAACAAGGAAACAGAGGCCCCAAGACCACACAGCTACTAAGAACTGAGCAAGGACCTGACCTCAAGTGGGGCAGGCCCCGAAATTCATGCCGCTAAATCCCCACAGTTCCCAAACTGCAACCTGCTCTCTCAGATTATCTCCGCCTCCGCTGAAAATACGCCTCTGTGCCCACCGGAGACTCCCACGCCCTCCCTGCCGGCTCGTGCACAGCCTTCGCCCTCCGACAGCCCCGTCTTCCTGCCCCGGGATGGGCAGGCGCCTCCTCCTCCTGCTCCCACGGCCTCTTCCAGCAGAGGAACCGTCACTCGGCTGCCTTGCTGTGATGCTCTCGGAGCGCAGGGGCTTAGTCCTGCTCACCTCCGTACCCCCAGAGCCTGACCCACAGCGAGCATTCGACACGCATTTACTCAGTGAGCTGCACAAGATAAAGCAACGCTGCACTCCAGAAAGCCTGACACGTGCCCTTAAACTGACATGCCACTTCCCGGATGAAAAGCACACAGCACACAGCGCCCCCAAACACCAACCTCCCGTTGGGGGTAATGGGTAGAGCGAGGGATCCGACAGAGGAGAGAGACCTAGAGAAGGAAGCAGACAGACCCTGCAGAAACACGCGCAATGCAGGCACCATTACCAGCTACTTCAGATGATCAGAGGTTCTTAGCTGAAAGCCTGCTCTCTTTTTCAGTGAACTGAATGGAAAATATTTGCAATCCTAAGTTTTCTAACCAAGCTGGTTTTCTGATGTGTTCTTTTTTCAAATAATGCTAACTGTAAACCCTTAGGGTTTACTACGGGCCATGTACTCTTCCAAGTACTTTATGTATATTCCCTAATCTAATCTTCCCAATATCCCAGAGAGGCAGGTATCATTACTATCTTCATTTCACAGATGAAGAAACTGTGACGCAGGAAATTTAAGTAACTTGCTCAAGGCCACACAGCTGACCCTGGTGGACTTGGGATTCAACCCAGGCCTCCGGCTCCTGGGCACACACTGCCTCTCAAGCTCTTCCGCAAAACATCTGCTTCCCGCCCAATGTGTTCTCTCAAGTACAACTCTCACCTTTCATGCAAAACAATCAAACCAATAACTCCTCACAAAAAGACAACAAACCGAAAAGATAAGTAAAATGCAACAAAGGTCACAGGAACAAAAATAGAAACTTTTTTTAAAAGAAACCTGTGTCACCCAAGCAAAGGGGACCCATTGCTAGAGAAGCAGAGAGACAGCTCAGTGCCCGGCTTTTCTCCCGCTGGTTTCAGGCAGAAACTGGAAGGTCTGCCTACTCACGAATCACAACCCGGAGACACTTACCTGTGCTGTTTTGTATAGCAGCTGCGTAGGAAAAGAGAAACAATCGCTTAAGCAGTTTGGGAGCCAGGGTGTGATGAATTATGCCGCTGACGATCTAGAAAAGAACCAAGCAGTAGAGAGAGTCATGTTTGGGCAGTAAGCACAGAGGCATCCAGTTTTCAGCCCCGTGAACCCGTTCCCAGGGGCAGTGGAGAAAACTCTCCTGGAGACCTGCGCCTGTGATGGCACCTCTCAGAAGAGTGACAAACGCACGAAGGCCAACCATTCTGTCGGGTTTCCCAAGAGTTTGGGATTTCTGGGAAAATGTGTGAAGCATAGTCTAGCTGCTCAAAAACTAGGTGCTAAAACCCCTCGAGTGCCACATTCAGACACCCCAAAAGTCTACCACCGGAGACACACAGCTGATACCAGATGCTAACGGAACCGTCTGATCCATTTGCGGCCTGCAGGACCTTCTTCTAGAAGATGAGAAACGAAATCAACCCTTTATGCTTTTGTCTGAGGTGCCAAACCAAAGTGTGTTTGGACAGATGACTAAGACCATTGTTCAAAATGCAGTTTCTGGGAATTTTCCACACCTACATCACTCACTCTTCTGCTCAGAACAGACAACTGAGGTCATGTTCATCACTCTACCTGACCTCCACACCACCTGAAAGGAAACCATGGACTTGCCTGTCAGTGCAGCCAAGACAACAGAGGAACTGGCCTCTCGCCTGCTTTCCCCCTGTGCTTTATCACGAGAGTGGCCTGTTTGGGACCTTCAGAACTTCAGTAAGAGAAACCTTCGAAGTCACAATGACCACTACAGCCAGTTCACCCAGCTATGCATCTTAATTTGCTGTGGCTACCGGATTAAGTTTTCTTTTTTTAAGATTTTATTTATTCATCTTTAGAGGGGAAGGGAAGGAGAGAGGTAGAGAAACATCAATGTATGGTTGTCTTTCATGCGTCCCCTGCTGGGAACCGGCCTGCAACCCAGGCATGTGCCCTGACTGGGAATCGAACCGCGATTGCCTGGTTCGTAGGCCCTCGCTCAATCCACTGAGCTACACCAGCCAGGGCTCCGGATTAAGTTTTCTAAAGTGTCCAAAAGCACAGGCTCGTCTGCTGACTCGGTTTTGCCCCTCTGACCTGTGTGCCTCCTGCTCCTTCCACACCCTCCCACTGCTCCCCAGATATAAGCCCATTCATCCAGGAGCCGGGGAGTCATTGCTGCTGGCTCTTGGCAAGGCTGCCAGGGGCAAGGCAGGAGGGCTGCTCCTGGCTGCTTCATCCTTCCCCCTCTCCGACCGCCTGCTGACCCTGCCTTTCCATCCGCCACCCTTCAGAGGCTCCAGAAATAGGAACACTAGGGACTGATGAATTAAAGGTAGCAAGCACCAAGATAATACACAGGCATGCTGTACCAAATTTCTCTCAATTCTAGTCAAAGCATATGGGATCACAACCAATTCCACCTTTTCAAAGTAAAAGGCTCCCCTCAATCTACATACAGTGTAAGCTAAAGTCAGTGGGGAAAACCCGATGGGAAATAAAACCTAAAACACATGTCACTAGTTACCCTTTTGACTTCCTCTTCCTTTGTGTACCGCAGACAGAAGTGGAAGACCCGGAGGTCTTTGCAGTGGATGATGAGTTTCTCCGGGTACTTCTTCAATTGTCCGAAGAGAGTTTTTTTTTTCTCATCAAACACTGCACATATGATAAATGATAAGGTCAGGAAGGGAAATTATGTTATAAGTCAACAAATTAACCCTCAAGAAAAAAGGTGTACTGTTAACTTCTAAGGAGACCTCTCGGAAGCGAGAGGTACGGTGCTTCCTTCTAAGTCTCTGTCCCCCAGGCCCAGTCCCAGTGCAGGGCCCCGGCTCTCGGAGGACACTCGGGCTCTGCGCTCCTCTCAGGAAGCACTGGACGGAAAAGGACTGGCCGCTGCCGGAGAACTGACTCCACTGACCTGCACAAACCGGCTCCCACAGCTGGGATGACAAAGGATGGAGCGGGGACAACTAGGGACAGTGGACTCCGAGTTTACGGCCAGGGGCCGCTCCTGCCACCTCCGTCCCTGTCCCAGAGTTGGGACCAGGCAACACCTCCTGGCATTAGAAACATCATGCATGACCACTGACTGGTTTCTGAAAAGTCCTCTTTACAAAAATAGAGGAGCAGAGCAGACAGACGCCTGACGGCAGAAGAGACACCCAACGCAGTACAACAGACCTTTATCGGATTCACCTCCAAAGTAAAACCGACGCAGCTACCACCGACAGCAAATGTGTGATCAACTCTAATCCACAGTGGCATCGTGGAGTACCAGGAAAAAAGGTTCTAAGTTCAAGTCCCCGCTCCTCCAGCTAAGTGACCACCAACAAGCCACTTCAGATATCAACTTTATCATCCATAAAATGGATGTAAACAAGATTAATATAAGGAGAAATTTTAGTAAACTATGAAAGACCATAAAAACATTATCAGTTACAAAAGCCTGCAACACCCCAGGGGAAAAGAGACACTCACCTCCGTAAATCTGATCGACACAGTGGAGCGTAATGTCATTTTCTCCTATGACCTTATTCTTAAATTGGGTTTCCTAAAAGATTCAAAAGGGAACAACTGTAACTCCTTGCTACGCACTGTTACACACTCACAGACCGAGCACACCCCCATTCTCCACGTGCACACTGGAGAGCAGGAACGCAGCCACGTGCCTGGGAGGGGGACGGGGAAGGGTGCGAGGAAGCTGTGGTCACTGGCTGGCGGAACCCAGGCAGGACACGCCATTCCCGGCTGCTCCTAGACGAACATCCCATGCCCCGCACGACCGCTTCCAGAGGTGCTGGGGAGTGGCGCGCAGCTTATGGCTTCTCCACACAAATGCAAGTAGGAGAGTGACAGCCACGGAGGAAGAAGAGCACCCGGGGACTCAAGTGGCTGTAACGCTGCCTTTTACAGGACTGGGAAGCAAGCTGCTATGGTGGCCAGCAGCCCGAAGACCACGCTCTGAGACAGCAAGGGCGCTGCTGTTTAAGAAGCAAGGGTGGGCCGGGATGGCTGCGTTTCCATTAATGTGCGGTGCCCTCCGAGTGATGTGGCCAGTTCTCCCCTCACTGCACTGCTCACTCTTCAGAAGCAAGGACAAGTCTTACAACACCACCACCACCCAGTGCAGAGTAACCCGGATTCAAGTACTGTATTCAGCATCAGTTTCATAACTGAACTTAGTTCCCAAATTTAAGGAACAGTTTAGTACACAAAAAACAGGGGAACCAGTGTATTTGGGGAGATGTCATTCCAATGAGTGGTATACGCTGCAATGAAACACAGAGGAAAATAAGAAGTGTCGCTCTATGAAGGCAAATGCAAGCCAGAGTGACAGGAGGCATGGGAGGAACGTTCTAGAATGTCCTGCACTAGAAGGGGACCCTGAAGGACGGAGAGCAGACTTGGCCTTTGTGCTTGTGTGTGTTGGGGTGCAGGACAGCGGGGCCACAGCGGCACTGCTCCCCCAGACTCAGCCAAGCCTGCTCAGACGTACATCGTTCTCCAGTGCAGACTCGTCACTGCCCAAGAACGCGATCTTGAAGTCTGTACAGACGAGTCTCCCACAGATCCCACGCTGACAGGAATCTTCCTGGACATACTTCAGGACGGTGCTGGCTTCGCAAAGCAGCTGCTCACCTGGGCGAAACCAAAACAAACCCGCTTTAGAGCCTCAGGGAGCCCACAGCATGCGAACAGCGAGAGCCTCCGGGCGGCACTCCCATGAGGACCAACACACAACACAATGCAGCACTCAGCTCACACTTTCCAACAGGGCGACGCTGCCAGACTTGAAGTCGGAGATGAGGTAGAGTGGGGACCGCTGGCAAATGAGATAAATGACTCAGATACACCTTCCCACGGAGCACCCTCCATCTTCTCGCTGAGTAACAGAAGTTTCCAAAGAGGGGGAAATGATCTCAGCTACAAGTGTTTTTATTACTTGGACCCCAGGGATGCCCCATAGAAGCAATACCCTAAATAGGCGAAGGCAGAAAGGCTCGCCGGCCCGCTCTGCAATGCAGGTCTCAGGCCCGCCTCCGGTGGGAGTGGGCCACTTCTCATCTGGAACTGCTCAGGGGCGAGGGGTGTCTCCCTGGCCACCTCCTCAGATGCTGAGGCTGCAACGTGACCACACTGACACTGGCTCTGCAGACAAGGGCGGGAGGAAAAGGGAGGCCAGAGGTCTGCGTGGGGGAAAAGACTGTTTCCTCTCGGCGGGTCGCCTTTCCTGCCCCATCTGCAGGCACCCAGCCCTCGGGCGAAGCCGCGCTTCCTGGAGACGGAGTAACCTCTCCACAGTCAGAAGACCAGGTGGTGGGGACAGACGAGCCCTCTCTGCTCCCTCCCACAGAGCAGCGCCTCGGGCCTGGCCGTCTGGGTCAGGGCAGGAGCAGAGAAGGTTACGGGGAAACGAAACATTAAGTGTAAATACTTTGCAACAAAAAAGAAAAGTAACTTCTTCTCCTCCAACAAACAGCCACTGTTCCCTCAGAATCTCCCTCTGGGTATTTCCTTTGATGTCTTCAAATTTACTGTTTGGCTTGAAATTCATTTAGTCTAACCTTCAATATGTGAAAAGTCACAGATACTAAGACTACCAAGGGACACACAGTATGTGCAGCTGTCATCTTCCAAGGGGTTAATTACTACGGAAATACTGAAAGGTGGCTCAGTCACTAGGTCATCCTCTAGAGAGACCACAGGACTTGAAGAAAACAATGGACTCAGGGCCTCATTAAGGTTTAAAACAGTCCCAGAAAAAGTGCCTCAGCTGAGTCCAAGGTGGAAGACATGTGAACAAGGCTTCCTGTGCTTTCAACTCCCGTGAACAGCTTTTAACAGCAAGTCCTCTCCCCACCACCCGGCAAGCCATGCCCGGCAAGCCATGCCCGGCCTGCGCCACGCACTGGAGACGGGACAGGGGCATGCGGCGGCTGCTGCAGTGCCACGGTCTTCGCCCTGCGTGTGCAGAGTCTCGACTCACGGGAGCTGGAGAAGGTCTTGCTCTAGTCTCGGAAACTGGGGCTCAGAGAAGTCAGCTGTGAGCTCACAGCCACACACCCAGGCGAGACCATCAAGTAACCCAGAAGGCGAGGAAATGTATACAACACTGAGCTAAAAATAGTTATTCCCAGAACCTATAACCCAGGAAAAGGAAAGACAATAGGACTAAGGTTTAGGTCTTTACTATAGGAAAAAGCCTTTCAAACTTAAAAATCTCTTTAAAAAGAAAAAAACCTCACAGGCCTGGCTTGTGTGACTCAGTTGGTTGAAGCGTCATCACATGGACTGAAGGGTCACGGGTTCAATTCCCAGTCAGGGCTCATGCCTAGGCTGCGGTTTGTTGTGCGAGGGACAACTGATGGGTGTCTCTCTCTCACATTGATGTTTCTCTCCCTCTCTCTCTCCCTCCCTTCCTCCCTTGCCCTCCCTCTAAGATCAATGAGCATGTCCTCAGGTGAGGATAAATAAATACTTAAGGATTCCAACATATTTACCAAATAAGGTGGATCAGCCAGAAATCTGTGCTTACACGTATCCTCCCAATAAAGTGAAATAAAATAATAAGTACCAGAACAAGCCCTTATTGTTTGGGGAAAATGTGCCTTTAAAAACTTATTTTAAAAAGCTATTTGGGATTAGAAAAAAATGCAAGAACGGAGTGCGCAGCTCCCAGCCCCACAGATGAGGAGGACACGCGTGGCCAGTTTCTATTCTGAATTCAGACATGACTAAGGCTGGACTCGAGCTACAGCGTCACTCTTCCCTGTCCGAAAAACACCCGAGCCACCCGGCTCCTTGGTGATGACCACAGGGCAAGGCCCAGGCGGCCCTGGGACGGGGCTGGGGGCCGCAGCCCACCTGGCACTGGCGCTCAGATGCACAGGCACAGACAACAGGTGGGAAGCCTGGGAAGCAGCGCTCGTCACCGGCAGCTGCACCTGGGCAGCAGGAAGAGAGTGTGGGGTGTGGGGCTTTGTGGGGACCAGGATTTTCCTGACTGAGGACCAGAATACTGGACGGGGCCAAGGGAGGTAACCCGAAAAAGGTTCCGTTTGCTTGTGAAAGCGGTGACAATTTCCCAGGTTTATTTTCAACTGCCTGGGGAGAGGAAAAGAAGAAAAATTCTTTGCAGGTGTTGTAATACTCAGACCCAGGTGTGTAATTACTGAACTAAAGACCTTGATACTTTGTCCCGTTCATTACTGTTACATATTGTCTGGATGAAAACAAAGGCTATACAGCCACAGCAGGAATGACGTAATTAACACTGGCTTTGAGCTGCACATGATGCTAGCATGATGACTGTTACCTGGCAACAAGTGAAGAGTTACTTCCTTCTCTGTTACTTCCTTTTCGTTTGTGTGAATTTCCTAAAAGAGAAAAACAAAGGGTAACATTTTTCTTTGTTTAAGGGCTCGAAATGAGTAACTTTAAGCCATGCTTCCAGAATACACACAAAAACAGAAACCCTCAAGGGTCTTTTCTTTGACAAGCTAGTTACAATTTGTTTTAAAAAGTATTTAACTAAAGGGAGACAGAAAATTCCAACAAATTAGTTCAATATTAAACTAATTATTCAGGACCAACAACTATTCATTATCCCAAGCATGGAGAAAGGGGTTGGCACTATCTCAAAGGTCAAATGTCACACAGCAAAGCGAGGCAGCTGGAAGTGAGGAAGCCAAGGGAAGACACCCCACAGAACGACTCCCCACTCCCTCCAGTGAGGGGTGAGGGTTAAAGGCGAAGGCCATGGGTTATAGGGAGAAAAGGGACTCATGCAAAGGACTTAAAGGTAAGAACAGGAAAATGTGAATGGATCAAGTCAATACCCTATTTAAAAAATTAAGTAATAAAAATAATAAAAAATATTAAAAAGTCAGGATTGATCCATCTACCCTGTAGTATACTAGGACCCGATAAAGACAGCTCAGACCGTCCTTGGCCCCTTCTGAGACACCTAAGATCCCAAGACAGTGCCATGGGACACAGTCGTTTCTAAGGAGGAATTAAGGCCAGGTTCTGTGTCACTGTTTCCCAATGAAAACATCTTCGCATGCCTCCCTGACAGGTTTGGTGTTTATTGAGTATTGAAGATGATCAGCAGTGCTCACCGAACAGTCGTAAGTGGCTGTTAACCAAACAAGAAGAGGGCACAGAGGGCCGCTAATGCAACCTACCACCCATGAAGTATTCCTGCCAGACTAGCTAAGCTCAGTCTGCTGGGGTGTCTGCGTCACTCTACCAATATAAGAAACACTGGGACAGAGAAACATGTTAAATGACACCCTGGGGACACAAGCAGGCAAAGCCTGACTCTGGAAAATTGTACAAGACGCAACCAGTTTTGTCAACAAATAAGATTGGATTTTATTTATTTGTATTTGGGGGGCAGAAGGCCCCAAGTGGTAGGAATTTTCTGAAGTTGTTGACTCCACCTGAAATACGGCATTGGAAGCAACGTGGGCACAGCTGAGGCGGGAAGAGGTCAGACAGCCCATCCTGAGGCCAAAGAACAAAGTCATGGCTGTTTCAGGAACCGTTTGAGCAAGGTCTGGTTCAGAGACAGCACGACTCCATTCCAGGATGGAATCAAGTCCGTCCGAGGCAGTGCTTCGCAGCCAGGAGGGCGCCAGGCTACCTGGGGATGGACTCTCAGGCCTTAACAAACTTAAGGAACCAGTGTTTTCACACCGGACTTGGCCGGGTGTGGTGCACACCCACGTTTCTGTGTGCGCTATACACAGGATTTGGGCAAAAAGTGTGCATTGTACTCAGCAAAATATGGTAATTTAGAAATTCTCATGGAGAGTTTTCATCTGTCTTCAGCAACACACTACATTAAAGCACAATTATTTTTGACAGGTCTATCGTCTTTCTCTGAGGAGAGAGCAAAGCTGTTCATTAAATTCAATCAGCTGTTAGAAAACTCTGGCAATCATCTTGACTAGTGCGTGGAATTCAGCCCTGACGCCCACGCCGGCGTGGAGAGGGCCAGCCTGCTGTTATGTCCCCAGGAGCGCCCACCATCTTCCGATGATAAAGCATCTACACTACCCAAAACCATCTATAGCGATTCTTGAACTGGTTAGTGGAATTCCTCTTTAGCCATCAGGAGACACCTTTTAGGATTCCGTCCTACCCAGTCAGGGGGATAAACTTTTCTTGAGCCCTCTGTGCCAGGCACCGTTTAGAGGGCTTTACACTCACTCACTCGCCAAACCCTGACGGTGAGCCTTCGGAGCAGGGCTGCCGTGCCCACTGTGGTCTCCATTTTGCAGACGATGGTGCCCAGGCAGCGCGTGGTGGGGGTGGAAGCCGAACCCGGCAGTTGGTTCAGTCTATGTTCTTACATGACACCATACTACCTCTTATACGAACAAGCATCCTGTCTCTTATTACCATGAAATGGTAATGGAGGAAAAAAGGAACACCAGGACAGAAAGATGGGTGAATATACCAGCTAGACCCACCAGAACCAGGCCAAAGCAGACATCACCGAGAGTGCCCAGAGAAAGTGCCCCGAGAGGCAAAAGGAGGCTGAAGGGAAAACACCAAGAAACGAAAACCACCTGGCGCCCGGAGTAACAGCTGGCTGCGTGGGGAAACTCTGGGGCTTCTTCGACCCCCTCGGCGAGAGTCGCCTCTGAAGACTTCCTCCCCTGGGTCCTCCAAGACAGACACCTGGCTGACACCCCAACTGATGCTCCAGAGTCCAAGGGGAACTTCTGACCCCCCACCCCCCAGGAAAGGCGCTAGCCAGGGCTGCTCTGTGCAGGCAGTCCAGAGGGGACGCCGCTGCTCCCCTCTCACACCTCCTCCTTCACCCTCGGCACCCGATCTGTCTCCAGATCCTATCAATATCGCCTAGTAAAGAGATCTAGTCTCCACGTTGCTCTCTTCTCTTCCCCCGCAGCACCCTGGACCAAGCGACCATCACCTCCCACCTGGAGCACCACGGCAGCTTTCCGGCCTGCCTACCTGTGGCTGTTCTCCCTCTGCTCCTGCAGCAGCCGTGGACTTCTCAGAGCACGCTGTGCTTTGCCGTGCTTGGCGTTACTGGCAGGGGAAAGACGAGGCCTTGGCCCAGCCCCGCCCACGTCCACCTGCCCGCTGCCGCCCTCCCACACCTGCCCTGCTCCTTCCCGTCCTGAGAGGTTCCCCCAGGAAGCTCCTTCTGCTCCGAATGCTTCCCCTTCCCCTTCCCCTCTCCGCCCTGTGAACGTGGGGTTTCTGTCCAACCTCAGGACAAGGGAAGTGTCTCTGTTACGAGGCTCTCACGGCCCCTTGGACCTCTTCCTCCTAGCCTGGTCACAAATGCAATTTTGCATCTGTTTATGTAATTATTTAAGTCTATCTCACCACCAACCTATAAAGTCTTTGAGGACTGGCATTCTGTCTGTTTTTGTTTTTGTGGTTCGTTTTTGTTTTTGTTTTTTTTTAATCACCAAATAGCCAGAGAACCTAATAAAGCCCTTGCACACAATCAAGGCTCAAAAGATTTTGTTGAATAATTTAATTAATAATGACTTTAAATGGTGAGAGTTTTTTAAAACACCCCAGCAGGGCCCAGAGAAACACATGGAGGCTTGGGTCCACTACCAGGGCTTGGCCATCAGTGCGCCGGCATGACCACACGCTCGACCTGGGGGAAGGCTGCATTCCACCAGCCGGCGCCCCATACACAGTGTCCATCCAGAAAGACTAGCGGCGTGAAGCCCGTCCAGTAAAAACTGCAGAGGCGCAACAGCCGTGAATGGATCTGGCCTCATTCCAGGATCTTGCAACCAACTCAACCAATGTCCAGTGACAGCTGCTTCTGTCCTATCCCTGGGGCGCTGGGAACTTCCCAAACTGCCACCCGGTTTCAGTGAAGGGTCCAGAGTCCCCCTTAACCTTCTCCTCCTTCTATCCCACTAACCTTCAACTCTGACACTCCTGACCACGCTGCCTAACCAGCAAATGATGACAATCTTATTTCTAGAAACTGTGGAATGTGATCTGAGTACCTTACCCAGTTAACTATCATGTTCAATGTGCGGGGAAGAGAAGCGGAAAGGCAGGGATCCTTAATAATCAAGCAGAACTCATCATACTAGTTACACAGACTTCTTTATTGAGATGCCTGAAAATTAACTCATTTGAAAGTAATGCCAATTTTCAACAAATGTGTCCATGAAACACGGCCCATGTGCTTTGTGCAGGGCATTTCTTGCCATTTCATCAGAGTTTGGACAAAGCTCACTACTATGGCACAAAAGAACAGCAAAGTCTACTGGCGCTGGTCAGAGAATGCCCACGTTTTCAAAACCAGGATGTCCCAGTGGCCTGGATTCAGCTACAACAGCAGCATAAACATAAGTGGAAAGTTCTGCCAGAGTGGTAGGATTGGGGTTGGCGGTTTTACTTAATTTCCACATTTACCTGAAATGTTATGGATGCCCCTTTTGTTTGTTTTAATTAAAAAAGAGACTAAGGCCATGAATAACAAGTCTTCCGGTTTCTGCACACCTTGCCCCACAGATCCAAAGGCCCTATGTCTGTTCGTGCTCCCACTCGGAACATCAAAAACTCCCGGGGCCCCATAGCCACCGCTGCCCCCAGGTTCCCCGAGAGCCTGCCGGGTGCTGAGCCAGAGCCCGTGTGCGCCCAAACAAGAGGTGACAGCCCCACCCGCCCTTAGCAAGGGTGTGGCCGAAGGACCGCGCCTACTGGAACCCACTGCATACAGCTGGCCCAGCATCAAAGAATCGTGTTTCCAGAAGCACTGGCCCAAAGCACAGGCTCCAGTGAGCTGGGGAGCTAAACCAGTGAGCCAGCACTCACAATGTACGTCTGGTCACACTCAAAGCTGCAAGATGACCAATCTCTAATACAGACCCGTTCATTTCAACAAACAGCTCCCAAATATCCTAAATATCAAATGCTGAGGATAAAAAGACGAATAAGAATTGACTTCTGCCATCAAGAAGCTCAGACAGACAAATAAAAAACAATAACTAGAACACTGGGTAATCAGGGCAGTAACTACTAGAGCCTGCAAAGGATTATACCTCTATTCACAGTCCCATCTAATCCTCAAAATGTTGTTAACTGCCCTCATTGTCCTCATTTTAGAGACGAGGAAAAGGAAGCTGACCAAGGTTAGGTGAAGTGGGACTGGAGCCTCGGTTTACCTGACCAGTCACGCTCTTCCTACAATACAACCTGCCGCCCCTGCAGGCCCCATCCTTCCCCAGGGCGCTGTCTCCTCCCCCTTGCCTTGCTCGCACATTCACGGACTGAACTGTTATTTCTCATGCGCCTGCTCTGATCCAGCCCTGCAAACGCAGGAGTGAACACGACACAGAGCCCCACCTGCCCAGAGTGC